AGCCGACACTGCCAATATGATATCAGATTTGATGTGTCATTTATAACATTTTGGATTTAATTTTTCTTTAAACATTATAATTTATAAGATTAAAGTATTTAAAAAATGTTGTAAAATTACAATATACTAAAGTTTATAAAAATTATGACCGACACTTAAATCAAATGTGATTGATGCTAATTTTAAAATAATTCGGATATAATTGAAATTTTTTCCATATACTAATAATAACTTACATATTATTTTATAAGAATAAAATCATGAAGCTTGAACCGGTTCAGAAGCATTTTAGTGGTTCGGTTTAGGTTCAGATAGGAATTTTTTTTAGCGGTTTAGGTTTGGTTCAGGTTCGATAAAAAATACCGGTTTTTAGCGATTTAACGGTTTGGTTCAGGTTCTGTTTGGATCCCTGCGTACGACCACTATTTTGTCATTTGATGTTTTTATGTTAAAATTTTGCTATATTTGTATTAAGGCTTACATCTCTTTAAAATTTGAATAGCGAAATAATAAAAATTTACTTATAAAATTAATATATTTGAAATATAATTGCATCTGTTCATATATTTCAATATTATTTCTTTACTTAGGCGAGGTAGGAACTTAAGATAACATGATCATTACTTCTGCACATTTTAAAAGAGGGTCAAAGGTACTTAAAATTACCTAAAAAGTTTCACGGCCTAATCCCCTAATTTTATTTGTCAATACGTCGCCAATTTTTATTTTCTATAAAATAATATTCAAATTTATATATTTGTTTTTATTTTGTTTTAATTAGTTAGTTGAACCATAAATTAAAATATGATTAAACTCTTGTCAATATAATATGATAAATATTTATTGTATTCCATAATAAATCAACTAAAAAAAGTCGATTCTCAACTCGATCCCCTTTTATTTTTTAAAAATTTGTCTGTTGGTGATATATACATTAACTAATTAAATGTAAAATTTTACTTTTCAAATCGGCTTACTTCATGAGATATGGCCATCTTTAGAAACGCGAAAATTCCAAAATACACTATATTTAATTTTAAATATCTCAAAAAATAATTAAGCTAGAAACACAATTAAAATCTTATTAAATTGCTTTAGAATAGCCCTTTAAATGATACAAAATTAATTTTATTGAAAAAAGTCTATAACTAAAAACCGGAAATAGAAAACCGAAAATGGCTATAAAATAAAAATTGTTCTTTATTTTTCTTTCAAATATTTATTTTCACAGATAGCCAATATACCTCTTAATATTTGTACAAAATCCTAGATTGGGACGAGTATTGGGCCAATAGTTATTACTCTAAATATAAGTAGTATAACTTAAATCCTATATTATACCAAATGTATAGTAATTTACGAAACAAATAAAAAGAAAAGTCGTTCGTTTTTTTGAATCGGGCCTGAAATATTTTTTTTATAAATCTTTCGAGCCGTGTTAGAAAAATTAGGCCCTATGTAGATCACTAGTATACATTGTGTCATATTTAACACATTAGTTTAGCTATTTTATTTTAGAAAGAAAATAATTGTAAAAATAATTGTAAAAATATTTATAACTTTATTTAGTTTATATTACATGAATGTCAATGCGAAATTAATATTATATTAAACATATTAATTAAATAATATTATATTAAACATTAATTAAATAATATCATATATTAAATAATCGAAGGAATTAGAATAAAATTTGACGCATTTATCCTTCCAACTGAATAAATACATGATATTTTTGTGTCCCGGGAATTCGTTTGGCCGTTAAAAATCTATTTTCGAGATTTGTTGCCATTCTTAATTATTCAATGTTGTTGACAAATATGTAATTAATCCCCAGGATATTAATTCTCGAATAATTATATAAATCCACATGAGTTAGTATATGATTTTCATAAAGACGTTGCAGGCTTGCCCTAGCCGTTAACCTCTTAGTAATTCCCCTTAAATTATTGCAAGGAGTTTTGCCATGGGCAGTGCAAAAAAATACCATTCTGCCTTGATCCCAAAATCATTATAATGATTGTAGAGGTTTACAAAGTTATTTATTAAAAAATTATTGAAATCTTATCAAATCTTTCTTTCAAGAATATAATTAATTTTATTTGAAATAAATAAAAGGAACATGATCTTGATCAGCAAAAGCTTAGTTCTCTGCAAAATCGGATATTATTAGATATTCCCCATCCTTCAAATTCGATATTAATGACTTAAAAAATGAAGATTGTTCCGAAGAAATATATGCATGAGGAATTAAAATATTTAATTTTTCAATCAAATACTCCACAAATTCGCTGACGGACTTAGTTAACGTTTCGAGGGTGGTACGATCTGCCACCAACCAGTGTTTAAATGATATATAATCTATGGCATTATTATCAAAGAATAAATGTAGTCTTTTTTTAAGTTCCAAAGTACCGGGATACATTTGGCATTTTCTTAAGTAACAGCAAGGCTGGGCTGGATTACATAGACTTTGTGCAATGTAGTGTTTATAATCTTTTAAGGGAGGAAATGGATGATTATGCTGGTTTGCAACTTATATAATTTACCACCAATTATAATTAATTAAAATTTTTGATGAAATGTGCAGATGCAAATTGTATGCTTATCATGATAGCAAACTTTCTTAAACCTTTCTTTATATTACTGTTTATTTCTTATTAGTAAATAATTCTTTTACATTACATAAAACTAATCTATTATACACTTGGTTCTTTTTTCCTAACTTCATTGGTATAAAATTATTTATCCTGGCATATAAGTCTGCTATTTTCATCAGAATTATAAAATTGTTATTTTGCATTTTTTAAATCAGATTTTTTAGGGTTTTAGTTTTAATGCTATTATTTCACATATATTGCCCACTTTAAAAAAAGAAAATGATTACTCTATATTTGGTATAAAATAGGATTTAAGCCATCTTATATTTATAGTGTAATAACTATCGGCCCAGTACTCTTCCCAATCTAGGAATTTGTATAAACATTAAGAAATATAATACTTTTTGAGATATTTAAAATTAAATATAGTCTATTTTGGAATTTCCACGTTTCTAAAGATGACCATATCTCATGAAGTAAGCTGAGTTGAGAATTAAAATTATATATTTTTACTAGTTAGTATATATACCATCATACAAATTAAAAAAAATATTGAAGAGGGTCAGATTGAATCTTCAGTTGATTTGATATGGAATACAACATATATCGATAATGTCTAAATATATTTATCCTGTTTATATCCATTTTTAAATAATAATAATTAATGTAATAATTATAAATTTTAAAATATTTTAAAATCGGAACCTGTTAAACATCCAAATTTTTCCAGAAATTTTTTAAAAATAATATTTTCTATTGATTTAAAATATATCTTTATATTAATTAGCTAGTGCGAGTGGATATTCAGGTTACTTTTTATTTTTTGGAATATAATAATATAACATTCACGCCGGGCTAAATTAAAATATTTATTATGGTGACCCGAACCATTATTCATAAATTTTTAGTTTAGTTACAGTTCATGTAAAAAATTATAATGGTTACGGCTAGGTTACTGTTCTTAAGAAAATATTTATAGAATTTCGATTTAATGGTTTATAAAAGTTCATTATGGTTATAAAATTTTTTTATTGAAGCAACACCATCATATTTATGATTTTAATTATGAATATTATTTATTAAAATTTTACCATCATTTTAGTTAATATATTGTTTATTTGTAAAATGGATGGTAATTTATTTTTGTTCCATTCTATCAAACTAAAGGGATATTATAATTAAATTAATATAATAAATGCAACTAATAAATGAAAAATTGATTATTTAGATATCTTGCATACTAAATTATAGAAAATATATTTAGATCAGAACAAACAAATATTGTAAAATTATGATATTAAGAAACTAATTAGAATTCATTATCAATTTGTAAAGTAAAGTTTTTGAAGAATATTTGAATGTTACGAGTTCAATTTTATTTAATTTAGAATAAATCAAAGTTACGAGTTTAATTTTATTTAATTTATTTTAAAATTTTACATCTATTTTAAACCTAAAAAATCATACTTATATAACAATTTACATATTAATATAATAATTTTTATAAAAAAAATCAATCTTCACAATTTATAAAAAAAAATCAATTTATATAAACATATAAAAAAAACAATTTAAAGGTTAGTTTTAATCGGTCATATCAATATTCCACCCTTTAAAAAATGATCTCCACTCAGGTTTATCTTGCATGTGAATCTTATCTGCAGTCAAGGTTTCTTGATAGTTTTATTGTCATCATTAGTATATTTCATTAACTTTTGCTATTGAAAGTTTATTTAAAAGAAAAATATTTTATTATATATATTTTTTTAGTCTTTATTTTATTATAAAATTATCAAATTTTTTGGGCAAAATTATATTCCTGCTTGGTCTTTGACTAACAAGACTCTGTTCTTGTATTCCTAAATTTTGATCATCATTTCTTCTAAAACTTACAGTAAAAGGTATTGCATTTTCAGTATTTGTTTTCAAATGTGTCGTTTCATCAAGAGGTGTGCTACTCGTAGACCTTTTTTTAATCTGGTCTAAATGTCTTCTAATAATTTTGTTTCCTGTATCCACTTCAAATATTAAATTCCCATTTTTACGTTTTACAGCTGGTTTCCCATGGATTTTGTGCATTATGAGGATTGTCGGCATATTTATTACATGTATCACGGCATCTCACCTCCTGATCTATTTCAGCGTTTAGACCAGGCCACCACAAATAATCTCTTGCCAACAATTTCGTTTTCCCAGCACCAAGAGGCCCTTTGTGTAATTCCTGTAATATCTCCTTTCTCATATTTTTCGGTATAATGATCCTATTCTCTTTAAAAAGACAATCTTTAATTAAGCACAGTTCCATTTCCATATTTTTATATATTTTATTCTTTATCTGTTCATGATTCTTTATATTATTAATTACCTCCATTAATTCGATATCAAAACTAGTTTCTTGAACTATTCTTTTATATTTATTGGTAAGTCCCAAAATTTGTCATCAATTATTTCATCATCTATCTCTTGTACCATTTTTTCTGTGTTCATTTGGGGTAATCTTGACAAACAATCCGGTACTATATTTCGTTTCCCGGGTCTATGAATTATCGTAAAGTCATAAGCTCCCATAGCCAAACTCCATTTTTGAAGTCGCATTGATATGGATGAATTATCATTGAGTCTCTTCGTAAATATATAAACGAGTGGCTTGTGATCTGTGATTATTGAAAATCTCGTACCAATTAAATATTCTTGAAACTTATTTATCGAGTATATAACAGATAAAGCTTCCTTCTCTATATAAGTGTAATTAAACTCTGATTTAAATAAAGCTCTTGACGCGAAAGCAATGGGTTTCTCTTTGCCATCACCTTCAATATGAAATAAGACTGCGCCTAGACCTTTCTTTGAATCATCAGTTGCAACGTCTATTGGTAGATCCGGATTATAAAAATTTAACGTAGGCGAAGTACTTATCAGTTTTTTTAGGTCCGAGAAGCTTTCTTGATGTGTACTATCCCATAACCATTTGTCTTTATTAACCTTTTTGTATAAAGGATCAGCTATGTCCGCAAAATTACATAATTTTTGATAATTGCTCGCCATCCGCCAAAAAGTTGTCAATTCATCTTTTGTCTTCGGTTCCGGCATGTTAGAAATAGCTTTTATCTTATCATCGTTGATATGTACATGTTTGTCTATATCATGTCCCAAAAAGCGTATTTTATCTTGCAGGAATAAACTTTTGTCGAAATTGGAGGTTAATCCATACTTGATGACTTTTCGAATAATTTTTTAATGTTCTCTAAATGTATCTCATCGTTATCACCTGTAATTAACAAGTCGTCAATGTAGAATATAACATCTTTTAAATCTCCAAAAATGTTACCCATAGTTTGTTGGAATATTGCCGACGAAGTTTTTAAACCAAACGTCAGTCTCCTAAACCTATAACAGCCCTTATTATTGTAAGAGAATCTCTTGATTCTTTGTGTATAGGTATTTGGAGAAACGCGTTTTTTAAAATCTATCTTGGTAAATTTCTTACCTTTAGATAATTTTGCCATTAAATCATTAATGCGTGATATAGGGTACTTGAAATCTTGTAAAGCAGGGTTGATAGTATTTTTGAAGTCGGCACAGAGCCGAAGTGAGCCATCGCTCTTATAAACGGGAGTGAGAGCACTATCCCATCTAACATCTTCAACAGGTTCAATAACTTTATCTTTTATCCACTTTTGTAGTTCTTTTGTTATCAAATCAATTCTAGAATATGGTATACGCCTTGGCGGTATGATTTTCGGTGTGGCATCGTGTTTTAAACGTAATTTGACATAGCTGCGAAGCATTGGTTTTTTGTTAAGTTTAAAATTGCATTGCTTAATTAATTCTTGTATAGTATTATCAAAATCATCCTCGACCATATTCACAAATTTATCTAGTATATTCCCAAAAACTGTTATCCAGGTCCTTCCTAACAGTGCAAACTTATCACTCTGGACTACATAAGCAGTTAAGATTTGACTTTTGTCCTCGAATTTTGCCTTGACTTTGGTAGTACCTAATACATTTATTGTGTTTCCATCATATCCAGTTAATTTAATATCTGATTTATTTAAGATTTTTACTCCAATCTTCGCGATATGAATCGGTAGGATACTATATCTTGAGCCGGTATCAATCTGCATCAAAATAGGCATGTCGTTCAAATTTACCGTAACCTTATATGCATCGTTAGCTGTGTAATTATTATCGGTATCCATATTGTTTATGTCTAAATTGTATAAATTATATTCTTTTCTTTCTAGTTTGTCATTATCATCTTCTTTTATCTCTTCTATATTTACAGTGTTTACTTTATTTGCATATCGGGATTGATTATTATCGTTGTTATGATATTTACAATTGCATACTTAATTTCTTCCTTGATTTCCAATATTATGATTATCGTTATGTCTTTGAATAAATTTTGAATCGTTATAATGTCTGTTATATCTGTAATTATAATCATTATTAAACCTATAATTTTTATAGTTATTGTTATTATAACTAGCTCTATTATATCTCGAAGAATTATTGTACGATCCTGGATAGTTTGCTCTGACATTGTTGTAATAATTGGCGTTAGATATCTAGGGTTGTGATTATTTCCTTGATATCTGGGGTTATATATATTTCCTTGATAATTATTTCTTTGAAAGTCATGGCCTCTTGTTGTCCATCGTTGTCTGTTAACGTAATTAGATAGTAAATTTTGTCGTTCGTCCTGGTCTCCATATCTCACCAATTGTTTATTTTCTTCTGTTTTCCTGCCTCTTTGCCTTTCTACATGTTTCACGGTTGTATCATCTTCTGTTTTTTCGTTTGAAGAAATATTTTCAACTTTAGCAATTATATTTTCTTTCAATTCTTACCCTTCAAAATCATCTCTTAAAGTAAGAACTTCTGCTAATGTATTGTTTTATTTTAACGTAATTTTCTGCCTAATATTTTTGCTGATTGATGAAATTTTTACTTTTTCAATAACTCTACTATCACTTAGCAAACATTCATTTTTTAAAATGCAAAATCTACTTACCAATTGATGTAACTTTCGTTTTTACCTTGTACAGCTGCGTTAAATAATAATAAGTTGAAACTTATAGATTTCCTCGGGTGTAACCTTAATTTTTCAATCAATATCGATGGATTGATGAAGTCGGTAAGTGAACATATCGATTTGAGCTTGATATATACCTCATCTGGTAGTCTTCTTGTAAAGGAACCTACTTTTTCGATGTCCGAGATCTGAGTGTCCTTGAAGATGTCTTCGAATCTACTCAAAAAAAGATCGCCATTGCCTGAGTATATTGGAAATTCAATATTTATGTTAACATTATTATTGGGAATCTGTTTCATATTTATTTATTTATTTACGATTTCCTCGAATATGTAGCGGAACTGCCACCATAAAGTTTTCTAAGAATATTTGAATGTTACGAGTTCAATTTTATTTAATTTAGAATAAATCAAAGTTACGAGTTTAATTTAATTTATTTTAAAATTTTACATCTATTTTAAAACTAAAAAATCATACTTATATAACAATTTACATATAAACATAATAATTTTTATAAAAAAATCAATCTTCACAATTTATAAAAAAAAATCAAATTATATAAACATATAAAAAAAACAATTTAAAGATTAGTATTAATCGGTCATATCAACATAAAGCTATATCTGTAAATTATTTGTTTAAAAATTTACTATTTCTCATATCTAAAAAATTAAAAAAACAGATTTGAACAATTTTGCAAATACTTGCATTTCAAGACAACAAAAAATACTTTTTTCATAATAAAGCCTTTAACTACTTATGCTTTAAAATATATTCAAGTGCCAGAATATTACAAATAATATATAGAATCAAAACTTTATATTGGACATTTTTAAATTTATATGGGAATAATGACCTTTCTATCAAAATGCTCATATTCCGGGTCCCTGATTGTATATGAACTATTAATTAAAACTTTTATTCCTCTTTTATTGTATTACTATGTATTTGGTGGTATCTTAATGAATTTTATCTACTATAATATAATCGTTAGAAATTAATATTTAAAAATCGTACCAATATTAAAGTTTTAAAAACATCCAAATTCTCATTGAAGAAATTATTTTTAAGATAATTAAATATATTTTTGTTTATATTAATTAGGTAGTGGTAGTGGTAGTGAAATCGAAGGTATACTTGTTATTTAATTAAAGAAAATTTTAAAAATTGAATATTTTTCTTTATATAATTTTGTAAATTATGTTTATTCGAATATGATTCTGATAATGAACGATAATATATATAAATATTATTATTATGCTCTTAATTTATTACTATATAATTGTTATCATATCTAAATAAATTTATTTTCTATACATATTTTTAAATAATAATTTTTTATATTCTAATTGATGTAAGGCCATTTTCAGAAAATTTTAGAAAAAACGTTTTTTACAAAGCGGTTTTTGGGTAATGTTGCCAACTATATTTTTCCTATTTTCAAAATAAAGAATACTAATTTGTCTAATTAATTTTTTCTTATATAAATATAATATTTAACAATCCGAACCCGCATTTCAAGCCATTTAATCGTTATTAAAATCAAGCCAGTTTATTTTATTTTCGATTAAAAAAATGAGGATCATGATTGTTTTTAAAAAAATACTATATTATATAACTTAGTATCCATTGTTTGGAAATAAAAAAAAATTGCTGGTAACATTGTCCAAAAACTGCTTTGAAAAAACGCTCTGTTTGGAAATGGCCTAATAGTTGAAGAAACTTTAAAAGATTTTAAAAATCGAAACAATATTACATTTTTTGAACATTCAAATTTTGACTGAATAAAAATATTTTAGCGTTTTTTTTTAAGATAATCAAATAAATTTATTTATTTATAAATCAGATGATGGAATTAAAGATATACTTTTTATTTATATAATTTAAAAAATTGGAGTAAAATAACAATCATAATGGGTTTAAATGATTAGCAAATATTTCGTGATTAAACTGAACTAAACACTTAATTAATTCTTATTACATTTTTGTTACACTATAATGAGTATCTGAATTAGTTTTAACTGGATATAACCCTTTTTTAAATACGCTTTTTATTACATTTTAATCAATATAATAGTGAGAGATATAAAATCGAACCCAATATTAATTATTATGACTCTAACAGATAACATTTCAGATTTAATAATGAAAAATAAAAAGTTTGTATAATTGATAAGAATAAGAAAATAATGTTTTAATTATAATATCATAAATAATTCCTTATCAAACATTTTATACTGCCATTAATTTTTATCCTAGAAATGATAGTTTTACAAGTTGATAAAATTATTCTTTCAAAAAATATTTACTTATTATATTTCAAGTAGAAGGATTAAAAAGTAAAAAATATTGTTTAAGAATGAATATCAAAAATAGAAAATGCTGCCAATAATTTATAATTTTTATGTAGCAAATGTTTTGCATTAAAATATAGATCATTGGCCTGCCTGTAAAAATCTAGATGGTCTTACCTAATCCCAGCCCTTAATCTAGGCCTTGACCAAAAATTAGGTATAGATCAGGCTGGGGTTTATTTTAATTTACTATGGGATTGTACAAGCTAAAATTTAAATAAAAATGTATATCTAAATATAAAATATAATTTCTATTATAGATTAGTTACTAATTTATTGAATTAAATTCATTTGTCAAATCAAAACATGACAAACTAATTAAAAATTTTTGTGCTCGAATGAAATAGTTTTATATTTAAAATTCAATGTTCAAATTATACAAGTATACAAATAATTTTTTGAAATTCGAAACATTGTTCACACTGCCAGGTTGACCTGATAGCCATGCGTTCTATATATCAGTATACAAATAAATGATGGTATTTATCAACACCATTTTATTTTATGTCTAAGAAAGTTAGCAAAGTGGCCTATTAACTGATCAATATTTCTATAATTCGGTGTGCCAGATATTTTACAGACCAAAGATGATTCTGAATTACAGTATTTGTTAATATTACTAAAGGTTTCTCCCAGAACAATTGATGGCCCATGTTAAGTCAAGTTACTCTTAAAGTCAGAGGTTTATCGGGAATTCAAAGATAGATACTCTCACTGCATGAATTATGCAATAAAAATAACAGTAGAATCAACATTTGCTTGATTCAGATCAGACGTACAAATTTTTATATTAGTATTAAGAAATTATCGTACCTTATTTGGCGGTAATTTTAATTGCGATTTTATAATACTTTATTACCAGCTGAAATATTAGTAAATCTAATTTAAACATAAACATGCCAAAAGAGGAATAGTATATAGAACAGGAATACTATCTGGAATATGCAAAATAATCAAATCGATTGAAATACGTCTTAGTAAGATCATTGTTTAGACAAAAGAGATTCTAATTTATTCAGGATCAAAGAACTAATGCCATCCGTAGAATTAAATACCAAACCCACAAAAGGATCATTAGCAAGACATGACATCTAGTAAAGGCTAGACGTCATCGACAGAAATAAAAAGTACGTCAAAAAATATGAAGAATCACAACTATTAAGAGATTATCCCATGCATCAGACTGAAAGAGACGCAGCTTGAGCATATCCCATAAAATTCTGACAATAATATAACTCTCCCGATCTCATTGGTAGATTGGGGGCATAAAGATCTTCGGAGTATTATGCACGCTATACTTGATTGTGATAAAATAATATTTAATGAATTTGCAGTTTTTCCTAGTTTAATTAAAGGATAAATTGCGCATTGCCAATTGGAGAAAAGTTTTTATAAATTTAAAAAAGAAAGAAAAGGAATAAAACATTTTATTTATAAGCAATACGCGAAATATATAAGGAAACAAAGATAATATTAAATTTTTTACAAAAAAATTAATATATTTAGACAATATATATCATATATTATCACTGTTTTATATTTTTTTTTAAATTGTATTGTATTAATCTATTGAAAGGTTTTATGATTTAAATTGATTCAAATTACTTGACAATTTAGTTAATGTGCATCGCTCATAGGCGTAGCCAGAAGAGGGGCGAGAAAAAATGCTCCCCCCTCATTTCAGAAATACATATTTTGTGAATATCATTTTAATTACCCATTTCTTGTAACCAATTTCGTACATTTTGAATAATGAAAAATAAGTTCTTTTTATTAAAATCAACCTTCTATCCTATAAAAATATTTTCTAGCTATATATAGGCTAAGGAAACCATGCCGAAGGCAGGGCATAAACTGGCCAGAGGACCACCAAAGGGGAGATTGTGTGGGGGGGGGGTAGTAAAGCACTCAGAAGTTTATTACCCCCCCCCTCCTTCCGGAAAATCTTGGATAGGCCTATGCCATTTCCCCTGAGTGAAACAACAAATAATATTTGTATTGCCAATATTTACCTACGATTTATAAATACGTGTTGCCTGATTTCCAATATTAGCAGTAACATATAGTATATTACGTATTTTATTTGTCTAGTTATATAATATACATCAATTTTATTAACCTTAAAATTATATTTTATTTATTATAAAGCTCCAAAAGAACTTAAAGATGGTAAGATTTGTAAATTTATTTTATTTAAGGTTTTGTCTACTTATTTGTCATAGCTTACAAGCCACCCTTAAAAATTTATGTTTAAAAATAAACGTGTAAAATTATATACTAGTTTTTTCCCAAATCAAATTACGATACTTTTTATGTGTTTTGGTATTTTTTATAATTTATATTGCTTTTCATCAATAAAATAGTCTATTTAATATTTATTTATTTTTTAAACATAGATTTTTTTTTATGAATTATTTAAAGCATAAAACATATAAATAAATTGTTCAAATAATTGTAACCACTACTTATTAAAAACTAAGTTTCAGAGACTAAAAATAGATGTCGCATCTGCTTGCATCATTCTATAAAATTCTTATGACAATATCTACATTCTAAAACTCAATTGCAACAAAATCTTACGAAATAAAATGGGAAATTAAGAATGATTTATATTAATGCACCCAAAAAATCTTCTTCGTAGATTTCAATTGATACCCTTCTGAATATATTTCTTTTAAAAAAAGTTTTAATCCTCAACCATACCCCAACCTAGACTCGAGTATTAAGAATTATGGCTATTTTATCTTTTCATTAATTATTTAATTACAATATCGAATTATTCCATTTTTTTAAACATGCCTGACCTCTTAAGGCCTAAATTTGTTCATCAATGTTTAAATAATGTAAGGTATAACAATAATAAAAACACCATTTCATAAATTAGGTT